AAATAAAAGCTTGGAAAAAGTCCTGTTTCTTGAATTTATTTATAAATTTACATTTGAGTGCATGCAGTCATACAATAATGCAGCGTTTGAGCCTTCAGTTCATCCTCTCTATTATTTCTTAAACTATGTGTTTTGCTAGAATATACTCTTTCCTATGTAACCGGACATAGCCGGTTGTGCCAGGGTTTGGGCATTATTCTTGAGGTTTGATCCTATGATATCTTTCTTTCGACAAGAAGGGAAATAGTAGTGTTCTTTTGGAGGATGGACGTAATTCCTATTACTTTCAGTAAATTATACCAAACCAGGTGGAAAGTACTACAAAAAGTTTGACTATAAAATGTAATTTTTTCTATATTATCTGTTAAAAATCGAGGCAAATAAGATGAGCGCTTATAGAAAAGGCGTAAATTAAGGCGTTAGTTTAAGACACAACATTTGAATTTACTCAATCGTATTCTTGAAATGCAAGTACACTTTTTGTGCACATCACATGAGCCGTACGAGAGCAACGATGCTTACGCTATTACTTACATAAAAACAATGTTGCTGAAGGATATAGATTCGTAATTCAGCACCGCTGAGAATATTGTGGTTTCTAGGCTTACATATACGATGTTGGGATGTTCAATACGGCTAGCAGCTCTATTTAATTTGAAGACTACTTTTTGTTGATGAGATTGATTGAGTACCGAACGGAATCAGCAGTGTACTACTACATTTCGATTGTTGCATTTTTACAATGTTCAATATCCCGCCTTCCTTCCACAAGTTATAATATTTGGGGATGTTCATCAGAACACCGAAAGGTTGACCCTTTCTCAATCAGCTTAATTTCCATGCAATCGTTATATTCGTGAAAGAGCTCGTCAGGCCTTTTATCGCACGATTAAACAACGAGATAAGATAAGCAGATGCTTTCGAATTTCAAATTGAACCTAGCCTAAGAGTGTAATCAACTCAAAAAAGTGTTCATAGATTTATTCCAGATTGTCTATGAAAAACAAAGCAAACCAATCAAAAGATAGGTTTCACTTCTACGCAACTCATGATCAGCTGAAAATTTATCGCATAGATGGTGGTCCTTTTGAAGTAAAACACTAGGAAAATCCTCCTATCAATAGGGGATAATTTTGAAAATTATGAAAGAGGAAATAAATTGAAAGAGAGTCAGTGGAACAACGTAAAAAACTTCAACCTGTGTACATATATACCGTATTAGCTCATCACATTTTCCAAAGAGAATCTAATAAAATTGAATTTTAGTCACGCGAAATGGGCTCTCCAAATAAGCAAAGGCACGATTTGCAATTTTTTGTTTAAAAGGAAAGAAGAATTTTTGTTTTGCTTATCGTAGACAAGAGACCAATAGAAGCTATATGTCAATTCTAAAAATATATTAGGGAACCCATCACCGGAG